CTACTAAGCATTGGAACTGGTTGGATTTTAATAAAGTCCTTAAATGATGGGGTTCATCAGCTCATTCAGGGTGAGGAAGCTCAGCCCCGGGCTGGTACTGCATCCTATTGCCTGGACTATCTGTAAGACTGTTTCCAGCCTTATGAAAGCAAGAAGTTTCTCACCATGGAGAAGTCTAAAAACAATTTTATTTGCTCCTTGCAATACCAGGACTTGAAATGGTGCAAATTGCAGAGAGGCAGCTGAGCTGTGTGCACACACCTCTTCACCACTTCATGGAGGAAGAATGTCTGATTAAAAAAAAGGAAAATTTAACTTACTTTCTTTGAGAAGTATTTATGCTTCTCCTAAGGAGTTACTATTTTTCAAATTTAAATCTCTAATTCTGTTTCATTTTTCATTTCAAAATTCCCAGACCAAGGGAAACTCTCTGAGGATTAGCAGTCCACCAAATCTTCAGTATTTCATGTTTGGAATATGAGAGGGAAAAAATCTCTCTCTGAAAGCTAAATATTTTCCCCCTCTAAAGACCAGACCCATTTTTGGGGAAAATATGCAAAAGTGTTCTCCTCAGGCTGAACGTTGTATGCAGTTTCAGCTTAATGCACAGCTTTTATAGCTGTGTAGAAAAGAATCAAAATGGGGGGATTTCTGGGAATACTGGCAGATCTTTACAGTGACTGCAGAGCAGATCCTGACACACTATAACACTGTTTTTGTCTTAATCATCAAAAGTAAGCTATAGAGAACAAAAATTCTTTGTTTGACAGAAAAGCAATTGCTATTTCTTGTAAAACATATGATATATTCCAGAAGACCTAAGGGTTTACTTTCCAATAAGGATAGAAAAAGATGTGCGCCCCACTGTGAGCTCACAGTAAGGCTGTTTCATGTAAAAAGTTGGTAATTAGTCCCTGAGTGAATAAAGTAGAAGAGATAAGAGACTGATACTTACTGTAGCAACACAAAACACTTTCTCTAGCTGCTAGGATTTAAGGGATGTGTGGGTGGGAGGGGGGGACCTACTCCTACTCATTTAATTTACAAGAGACTGAACCTTGGTAAATGATTTCTTGCATTAAGCTTAAACATGTGTACTTTAAATTGTTACTAACCGATGTAAAGATTGGTAAGAGACACTCCAATTCTAAAAAGCAAAGAGGAATGAAGAATTATAAGACATAAAAGACTGTTGTGCTGTACACATCAGTAGCAGATTTCATGCTCACTGTACACCACTGCTTTCAGCAGACTTACACCGACACAGTTTGATGTTTCACCAGGTTAACCCATTAGCATTCAAAGGATCTTTATCAAAAAGGAAATACTTGGAAAACTAAATCATGTACCTTTAGCCAGAGTTATGTAATAAATACGGAGAACAAAAAAACCCCAAGCCACAGGAAAATCATCTACTTACAAGTAATTATTTAAAAATATTTCTGTCACTATCAGGTAAATATTACCAGAAGTGAAAACTGTGCAGCATCTCTTGCTCTACCTGCAGAACTTGGAGCTAATGGAAATAATATTCACATGCTTCCCTCTGCTACTATTCATCTTTGTTAGAGCTGGAGTTTCTGATTCTCTCTCAAAAATAATTTTATAAGTAACTATGCTGTATTTTATTTTTTTTATCAATATGCAAAATAAACCAGAGCTTGGGACATGACAGTGGAGCTTTACACAGTGCTCTCACAGCACATATCCCTCAACTTCTCTCTATATATCTCTTCAATTTGTTTCATTTGCTTTACTCCAGCATTTATTGTTAATGTACATGAGATGAGAGCACTTACCAAAAGCCATACCAAAAAATCATAGTTATTTCATGAAGACTCACTCCAAATACATAACTGGTTATCAAGTTCCTTCTCCATCCCCACAATTATGATTGCAGCACCAGAGAGGTCTAGACACAGATGGATTCTGTAATGATGTCCTAAACTGGATCATTTGGACTATGAGTATTGGATGCAGTATCGAAACAGTCAAGAAAAGTCTACATATTTTCACTGGTTAACTAATAACATTATGTTTACAAGCACTGAGCCTCACTGCAAATATCAAGAATTCATGTAGAGGAAATGCATTAGAAGTATTTCCTCAGGCTGGATGTGGTATAGAAGCCCCAGAAGCACTTTTTGTTTACTGTTAGTGTCAACTTGACTTGTTTTTACTAACTTCAGTGCTTATGATGCTGCACACAGATATTTAAAGAAGTGTCCACTGAGATGAGGAAAACAAAATAAAACAGACCTTCTTCCCCTGTAGTTTTGCACTTCCATGCAATTCCAGCCAGGCCATATAGGTGATGAGTATACAGGAACACCCGTATGATGCACAAGTACATCTACTGCCAGAAGGCACCAATCCTGTATGGAAGAATAATATAGATAAAATATTATGCCTCCTTTTGACTCAAACTATTATCTCAATACAGCTGAGTTATATAAATAATACAAATTTGTATTATACATTTGTAAGTAATATTACAGAAAGATTACATATAAAACATATATATTAAATTCTCTATCAAACATTTAATTTACCCCTTTTACAGGAAAATACAAAATATTTGCAATTCTCACATTTTGTTTCTTCTTGATATTTGTGTAATTTTCTATTGTTATGTTGCAAATAAAAACATATTCCATGCAGCAACATTTGGACAGAGTGCAAAAATGAGACCGAACCTGGTTTTCCAAGAAATCAGCAAAATTTAGTCTCACAGTATGATTCAAAATGGACAGACAGCACAAGAAAGATGGACTTTGAATTTAAAGTCTCTAAAACTTCCTGATGTAATTTTTAACAGTTGAAAAAAAGTTTGGAATACTGATTCTGAAACCTTAATACATTTTATCTTGCTGTTTAACACAGCATGGTCCCTGTTTCTGTAGGAATTTCTTACGTTCTAACCATTCATGATTGCATTTTGCATCTGAAAGCAAGTTATTTAAAATAATTGTAACTGTTCCTGTCTTAACTAATATGCTTAGAACATGCAATTTTTAAACCAGGTTACACTCGCTACAAAATACCTTGGGAGTTTTATGTAGGCACATAAAAAATAAACAGCTGTATTTTGTGTGAGAAAATGTCTAGTGTAATACATAAAAACATGATTATCCAAAGATCTCCAGAGACACTGGCAAAAAGTCTTTGGATAAATGAGTTTGAATAGCTGAAGGACCAGGAATAGCAGCTTTGAAGTTTCCAGTTCTCACTCTGGGTAGTACCAAGTTCAGACTTTGTCTGCTGGACAGCCATCATAGTGTGAGCATTGCTAGTGAGTTCCTTAAGGCAGCTAGCAAAATTTGGATGGAGGTCATGTGCCCAGTTCCCAAGCAAGCTGCATAAATCTGGGATCCACTTGCTTCATTTCCACAGTGAAACCGGGACAGGAAAGAGGCAGGCAGTAATGACCACTGCAGGAAACACTCAGGCCAGCTCATGCAAGAGTGAACCTGAAGTGCAGCCAGCACTCTGCAGAGAGGCTCCTGCTCAGACTCTGAGGCCTCTGCATGCTACCCTGGGCTGCCACTGGGATCCCTTGGCATCCTTCCTATACCCCTGTTCTGAAGAAAATGTTGGCCTCCTCCAACCGTTTCCCTTGTGTTCCAGCACACAGTTATGTGCAGGAACCTCTATTTAAAGCACTTCTAGGAAAAGGTGCAGTGAGGCTCAATTTACAAAGCCTCCCAGGCTGCTGATGGATTGGGGGACCAACGTGTGTTCCTGTTTTGCAAAGGAAAACACGCATTTCCCCTCCAATCAAAGGCTGGCATTTACAATGTCAAATTCCCCACCTCTGTGCTCCAAGAACACCCACAGAAGAACAGATTTGTCTTTTTTCAAAGTGAGTTAGCAGCATCGCTGGTGTTCAGTATTGCCATGCTTTAGCATTACAAGAAACTGTGTTACAGAACTCTACTAGCAATGGTGTAAATAACCAAACATCAACCAAAACAAGTTCTCCCAGCAAGAGCACTTTGATCACTCTTTCTGCATTATAGCACTGCTGTAGTTTGTAAGCTTGGGAATAACTTCTGCTTTCTCTAGACATGTCGAAAGACAATGCCATCAGAGTAATTTTTACACAGAGAAGCAAATAATGATAAGATAATATACTGGCATTTATCTGTGTCCAGCATTTCCGGAGGTTGAACTTGCTGCATAGGAACAGGAGATAATCAAACAGAGGCAGAGTGAACAAACTGTACCTGCCTTACTGATGCAAATGCCCCTGCTGTCCAATACAATTACAAAAAAAAAAAAAAAAGTCAGCATGTTGGTTTTCAGAAACCGTATTCAGGTTAAAGGGCACGGCTCTTATCAGGTATTCCACCCAAAGGACAATGATTTCATTTTATAAAGGTCATTAGTCAGTGAAATATAAATTTTAGAGAGTTTCTAGTAGGGAAGATTATTTTGGCAGTCACTGGAGTGTACCAGATGGTTCATTAACATAGGCTAGACAAGTCAAAGGCTTTCAGAATCATTTAGAAAATGTCAAACAGAAACAAGAACCCTGTCACTTTTTATTAGAATTAACTACATCATACCCTGGACACAGATTTCACCTTGGGTCAGAAAAATTAATACAGAATTATATGAATTGTGTAACATACTAGGTTAAAGATAGGGCTTTCTCTTGGGACTCATTTGCTAGCAATATATTATGGTCTTCTACTTTAGGAATCCTCAACCTTTCTTTTTGTAAGCTATGAAAAGAGCTGACCTTGCTCAGACTCCATTGGTGTCTAATTGATTTGAGCTATATGCAGAATTTCAACAAGACACGCCGCTAAAGCTCTTTTGTGATAATTTTCCCAGGAAGGTTGGCAAAAGGGTTCACTGAATATTCAGCAGCTTGTAAAGTATGCTTTTGTCGGGAGGAAAAAAAATACAGCCATTTAGCGAAACACTGCTTTCATAAACAGGAATTAAAATGCAACTGAATTGTTGTTACTTTTTTTTTTATCATCATCATTCAGATGTCAAAAATCTTGAGAATTTCCAGCTTGTGGAAGGTGTTCAGGAACAAGTGAATGCTGCCCTGCTGGACTACACAATGTGTAATTACCCACAGCAAACTGACAAATTTGGGCAGCTTCTCCTGCGACTACCAGAAATCCGGGCCATCAGTATGCAGGCTGAAGAATACCTCTACTACAAACACCTGAATGGGGATGTGCCGTGTAATAACCTTCTCATTGAAATGCTGCATGCAAAGAGAGCATAAATCATACCCATTAGAGCTTCTGCTTTCAAGGAAAAAAATATATTCTGAACTGCTCCAAGCAACACTAATTAAAACATGGTTTTAAGACTCTGCAAAATGGTATAATAATCAAATACTAATAGTAAATAAGTGATGTATCAGGGTATTTGTATTGCAAACTGTGAATCATATGCTACACATCCCCAAAGGAATCTATCTAGGACTTTATACTGGAGTGAAGTGAACTTACCAAGTGGATACTATCACCAATGTCAACATGAAAAAGGACAGAATGATTCTTGTATATTTAACTCTGCTGATTGCCAATATGAAGAAACTTAAGAGGAAAAAGAACTGATCTGTATTACCAAGCTGAGACAGTGGGGAATTTTGAGTGCACTAAATTCCTTTGCTGTATAGCAGGACTTCTAAAGCAGTTCTAATAGGTGCAAAACTGCATCTATAGCATCTGTCATCCTTCCAAGGACCCAACGCTTACTTCTTCTGTGATAAATTATGTGGCATCCATTTAACAACCTGTAAGAGAGAGCTGGCCTAGGCCAGGTGCTATGTAGTTGTCGCCACCAAATCCTAGGAGGCTGGTTTTGACTGGGGGTCTCTCAGGCCTGCAAATCACTAGTATGAAGAGTCTGTTATCCAGTTTGCTTGGCATTCTTACTATGTTCTGAAGTTTGTTTTGTCATGTGTTCATGTTCTTCTATCGGGCAGTATCCCTCATCTACTACTGTTGATGGATAGCTATTAAATAGCTAAGATAAATATTCCAAAAAGAAATTATCCAATTCAACTATATACTTAAACCAGTGCAATGGCTAAAATAGGGCTCTGCTATGTATTCATGACCATTTCCAAATAAAGAAAATGGAGATATTTTAGCCATCACGAACAAGAGATGCTTTGACAGACACAAAGAATGTTTTCTAGACCATGAAATACTGATGTTTAAAAGCTAAAACTAAAATTAAAAAAAAATATTTAGTGATGTAAAAATAGACAAATAAACTGTATGAGCTGATGATGCCATGGAGCTTATTAAGAAATGATCTTTAAAATTGCCAGTAATTAGGAAACTAAATTTCAGCTCAAACATCCAGTATCTAATGAAACTTCTTCCTTTTAAAGTTAGATAATACACATCTTTTACGCAAAGAAAGAAGAGTGATACTGCTATGTGTATGTAGGCCAAAGTCTGCTGCAGAACAAATATTAGAGAAGAACAAACAATTCTCTCTCTGTCCAAATGAAGATATCAGTATTAACATGCAGTGCCACAGTTATAAGTCTTGCCTTATTTCATCATCCTTACAGGTAACTGTGCAGGTGCGGATCAAAATACGTTTAAAATAAAGTATTAATCTCTTAACATTAACAAAAACATAGTGTTTACATTCTTTAGGTCCTGTGGGGAAAAAACTGTGATAAGATTGCAGAGCAGTGATTTCCTTATTATTTCTTTTAAATTGGTAATTATTTTACCAGTACTTAATTACTGTATGTCGTGAGACACTAAAATCAATAGGGGTATTGCATTTTTACTTTAATTTTTGAGATTATTGGCTGCACAATCACTTGTAGAAACTGTATAAAATCCTAATCCTTTTTTTTTTTTCCACAAAGATTGCTGGCTTTTGAATAGTTTATTTATATTGTATATGATAGTTTCCACTGTAGACAATTATGATGCTAATTTATTGTTCTTTGGTTTCATCTTTATCTAAGAAATAGCAAGAATGAAGAAGCCAAATATATGTGTTTACTGTAGCATGTCTTCAAGTTAGTGGAACACAGTTCAGGGACACACAAGGGTCTTTACAAATTAAAATCATTCACTTGATTAAATGTGTGTAAATCTTCATAATCCTAAATGTAGTTTATTTAAATCTGTTGTAAATTATGTGAGTTACAGCTTTTTCTGTTTTATGTGAACTTGAAAAGGTGCATTTCTCTTATTTTTTTTTCCCAACCATTAACACATTGTATACCAAAGACACCAGGTATTTCATCTACATTAATACAAAGCACTCTATTTTAATCACCTGTATCAATCAGCTTTAATATCCTGTCCATGCATAGGGTACAAACACAGCAAAGCCCAGTGTCTGCAACTCCTAGATGCCTGTCTTGTGTCACAGAACACACGTACTGTTGTACGGACCAAAAGCTAACCAAGCACAGCTCCCTTAGCCATCCCACACAGCAGACATGCAAGCATTATTGGAACAACAACCTTCTCCCTCAAGCAATCTAAATTAACTGTAATTAAGATGGAGGTGGCAATTGATGGTGCCTGCGAAATATGTATATACACATGTACAAGATAAGTGTGGTCATTCCTTCCTTCCTAAAAGAAAAACAAGCATATTTCAAGTGTTTCCATTCTGTATTTTCTTTCTTTTTTTCCTGTTGAAATGCTACAGTGAATCTCACTGAATATTAAAAAAGCTTAAAAAATGTTGCTAACTGTATTCACAGCACCATAATCTATATACAGGACAGAGGAATTAAGGTGGTAAAAGTTTTTCATACAGTATAATGGAAACAATTTCAGATAAACTAACATATAATTGCCCACATCTGTGGTTCCGAGAATCCCATCAGATTGCCCAAAGTATGCAAACAAAAAAAAAAAAAATAAAAAAAAAGAAAAAGAAAAATCACCAAAAAAAACCCCTCATGTTAATTGTTAACTACCTTGTAGCCAGACATTTAGTTCTGACTGCCTTATTGATTACAGGACATATTAGTAAAAGCAGATTAAATTCAAAGGGTTTGGCTTTGGCTGGTTTATTATAGTTGTTCTGTGTTTGTAAACAGACAATCTGTAAAGTCTGACTATTTGTATTACAGATGTTCTGCAGCTGCCTTGGATTTAAATCCATGCAACTCTTAGAATGTGCAGTGAGTTACTTGTTGAAGTTGAAGTTCTCTTACTGTATCAGTGAAATACATATTGTCATGTCAGTTCTTGCCAGAAGTTTCTCATCGCAAATGGATTTTTTTTTTTCAGTATTTCAATAAATATTGATATGCCTGTGCTGATTACTTTATAATTGTCTTTATGATAACATCACTCCAATGAAATGAAGCACCAGTCAAAAATCAGTTCATTGGAAGAGAAAAATAAAATGCAAGAGTAGTAAGACAGCCAAAGAGAATTTGATGGAGAGCAGAAGACAGATCTGGAGAGCAGCACCTTCAAAATCTCAGACAGCAGTAGTGAAACTGCCTAGGCTGAAGCAAAATAAATACAGCTAAACAGTTCAGAAAACATACATCTCTAATCAAAAAGGAGTTTACCAGCTAATACAAATACTTACAAATACATTTCCTCTTAAACTGCACCCTTAACTTTCACTTTATGTGTTACCCATAAAGAGTTAAGCAGCCAAAGCATCAGAAGGGGAAGGTGACAGAACAAAAGAAAATCAGGTAACAGGATCCAGCAGTGCTCAGGATAACCTCTCAGCAATGTAAATACTCAGCAGGGCTGGGGCAAACTCACAGCTTCCAACACAACTGCCAGGGGAGGCTGCCAAGGAGGCAGATGTTACTGCTACTAGAGAAAAATATTTTCCTAAAGTTGCCCTCTGGCTCATCTGATTGCTCTTCAAGAGCAAGAGGTGAAGTGGTCCAAGAGAGCTTGTCAGCAGTACCCTACTGCTCTGAGACCAAGTCCAACACCTCACCTGAACTGTCTGGGAGTTGAAAAAGGGCTGCTCTCTGAGGTGTCAAATGTTAATGCCTCAAGGGGAAAAAACAAGGCTATAATTATTTATTTATAAATCCTGCACGCTTAAACGAAACAGAACTGGTTCAATGTTGTAATAAAAACAGAATAAAACAAATAGGATCAGGTGGTTTACAAGTGAGGAAGGATTAAATTTTAGAAATCGTAACTGAAAAGCATGACTTCACATAGGACCCAGGGGAGATTTCAGGGTTGATATAATGTATATAGTTTTCCTTACAAGATATGTTTTTTGGCAGTGATATATTTAGTAGATACACCGTGCATTTACATTATGAGGGGATTTATTTTTAACTGAGTTTGACACTGGTTCTGGAAAAATCCCATGTTTTTATTGGAAACATGGAAGGAGTGAGTTCAATGCTACACAGGTCAAAGTCAGTACAATACTTAGTGATCTCGACAATTTCCTGGAATACTGAATAACACTTTCTATTAACCCCTGATTTGACACCCATAGTCTAGATACATCACAAAGGTTTTAACAATATTTCTATCTCCTCCAATATAGATGAGCCTGAAACTTCTGTACCAGTCCAGCAATTTTAGTTGCATGCAAGCCTGTAGAGAAAAGATTCATTTTCTAAGGACAATTTGCCAACAAAAAGAAAAACCTTTACTAAAAAACCAAGGCAGAAGAGGGCCTGACTCTCAGGGGGAGCACAGAAATGCCTACCTAAGAGGTCAGTGGATCTACAGTGAAGAAAGCGATGCTAGAAGTTACTCAGTATGGTCTGGTCTAGCACACATCAGTGGGACAAGCCAAAGCATCCCTTCAAACACACTTCCCAAAACTTTCATTTTTGGTCCCCTGCAGAACCAAACCCTCGCCAATTTCTTGACAGTCTTGAAGGCCAACATGCAAGCTGGGACTTCTCAATACTAAGTGAGTTTTCACCCTTACCCCAAGAAGATCCTGACCCTTATTTCTTATTCACTGTAATTCCCCTTAGTCCTATATTAACTATCAGATTTATGGCAGCTTTTGCTATGTATGTCCTGTGCACACCCAAGTGGATAACTCAGTTGCAAGGTAAAGCAAGTTGTTGGTGGAATGAAGACTCCTGATGCTGTCTGTATTAATTGGTGGCTCAGCTGTAGTGCCCTGCCTTGGTAAGGACTACAGGCTTTAATATTAGTTAGTAATAAAACAGGCTGAAACAAACAAGAAAAAATCTAGTGTAGTGTTGAAGTTACATTTTTGTTCACTCACATCTTGCTCTTCCTAGGCTCCAGAACACTAGTAAATTCTGTGTGAATGGGGAAAATGACTCTTACTTTGAGATGCAGGATGTTAGGACACTTCCAGTAATAACAATTGTTTCTCATGCTGCTGCAAATCAAAACCTTCACAGAGCCAGAGCCTCACTGTGCTGCATTCGCATCAATCACCCTGCAACTGATGCTGCTAAATGTTTGCTGTATACTACCAATCCAGGCTGTCAGCTACAATTAAACAGTAAAACAGGACTCTGCACCAGAGGGAATGAAGTGTGTTTGTGGGAAAGACCCCCAAACAAGTCACTGTTTGTACAACAGAAAGTGCTGGTGGCCATTCAGTAGCTGCTGGCATGACTACAGAGACATGCACACAGGCCACATGCCACTTAGGGGGATTCCTGAAGCACATTCAAACATCCAGTGCTTCTGTTCCTACACAAAATATTTCATGAGGCACTGGTCCCTGGGAGACACCAAGCTTCAGTTATCCACAT